TATTTTCCTTTACACAGATTTCACATTTTTAGAGTAGGACATACTCTTTTCTGTTCTATAAAAACAGTCTTTACTATAGCTGGGAATTTTAAAAATAGCCATTTATGCAACAAAATTTCTTTTTTCAAGACACTTTAAAAAAAGTTCCCACACTGCCTAGAATGGTGGAGTTTAATTTAAAGTTAATAGAAAAATTAAAAAGAAGCAATTCAGAAAAATTCTGTAGTCGCAGAAAATTAGCTCTCTCATATTTAAGTCCCAACACACAAGAATATCTCCTGGTTCTACAGGAAAGAGATGCATTTTTAGAGAACACAGCAAGTAATCCTTCAGTGAAATGTCACTTCTTGCGAAGTTCTCAACCTGCACAGAAGGCTAACATACGTTATATCTGCCTTTGCTTTAAAGCCACACTTCAACACACTAGTGCGCTTCTGCGCACATACGTTTATTGCCTTATGTGAAGATGTTTGAAACGGTTCATTCGTGTTATCCAGGAGAAGAACCTAATGAGGTGTGCTTTGAAGGAGTTTTGTTGTAAAGGATCTTCTTGTTTGTTATCAATATCTGGATTCTGTAATACCTACAATATGTATTTTTACAGAAATCACATTAAACATATTTTCAAATTTCTTTTGTTCAACTGCTATTTCACTGTACTACTTACTGAAACTCAGATGCTGTGATCACGTAATTTGCATTTGAAATAAAACTTTCACATAAACATCTACTTCGAGGCAACTGTAGTGTAACAATGGGAAAGGGATGATGAGAACATACATTCAGATGCTTGATTTCAGTAAAATTTGGAGCTAAACTGCTTTCTATCCTTTTTTGAATGTGCTCTCTCCTGTGTTTACTATACATATTGTTGACATACTGAGTGATCAAGATATAGCCATATGGCCACAAAAGGTCAGCAAAATTTCTCATAAGAAATTTAAACCCATGGATACTGGTTAGATGGCATGCAAGTGAGAGCAGATCAACCCACAGATTCAAATATGCATGTATGGCTACCTCAATACTTACCTGGACCTCATCTCCATAGCAATTGAGCACCTCCGAATTAAATAATAATAAAAACACTCCATCTTAGCATTCTAAGGATAAAGGTACTCAGCCCTAAAACAGCAGTTTTGCATTGCTGAGCCAGTACTGGCAATGATCCTTCATGGGGAGACACAGCACCCACAGCTCACACTCACAAAGACCGGATATCTTTCTTTCAGCACTGCTTAATCACCTCCATGCATCCCAATTAAACAGACTTGCTCGCTAATTAATGACCACTCCTTGCCATTAAGTGGCATTAGGCTCAATTCAGCTTGCTAAGAAAAATTCCAGTTAAGTGTATAATGTCTCCAATAGGTGCACACACAAGGAAGCTTGCTCGTTGTTAAGTCATATAAGGGAGCAATACAAGTTCCCCTGTGCAGCTGGCCATCTCTGCCAGCTGGCATGGAGCTGTGGGGAGTGGCAGAGATATGGTTCTCCTTTCTCTCATTCCTCTTTCTGTGCCCCTGGTGATGGCAATCGGGAGCATTCACTGTGGTCACGAGAGCGCATGGGCTGGAAGCGTACTGGTCCTAGCACAAGTGGTTGCAGTGGAGAAGGCTCTGTGCACTCACCTCCATTGGCCACCCAGGAATGTGCTGGGTGCCATCTAGCCTTATGTGAAGAGTATTGCACCACAGATATAGGTATTGGGCCTGGTAGCAGAACATCGGGGAGTTTCCAGGCATAGGAAGTGACAGTATATTGTCTTCATTTATGGGAAGAGATTAATATACAATTCTAGGATGGATGAGCAAACACCCCTTCCACTGGGGCAACAAGTGAAGTCAGTTTTAAGCAAGAGAGTGGCTCCATTTTAGGGTTTTGTTTTGTTTTTTTTATTGACAAGAAACAGAATAATTGAAATGTTTCTCCCCAGCACTGCCTTGGTCCCTGGCAACATGATCCTGTCAGAGTTCTAGTCATGCACAGTAGTGATTTGCTGTCATTAAGTTATCCTGATTACTGCTACAGCAGCATGTAAACTGATAATAAGGAAAAGAGATACTCCAATATTCCAATATACGCAAAGTCAGGATTTCGATTTAGGCTAGTCACATTTGGTATATGCTTATCAACAGGTGAGGGAAGGAAAAAGCGTCGTGCATGCCAGCTTTCAAGCTTGCCTTTGTCTCCAGAGAAGACCATATCATAAGAGGTTAGCTAGAAAACAAAAAAATGAGTCGATAATAAAAGCATCTAGCAAGAGATTGGAGTTTGAACTAATTTAGCCATAAATTAGATTAATTTTACACATCTCTCTACTATTTATTATTAATTATGAATTACTATTTGACTGTTTCTCTGGATCCTATCCAGAACTGTAGGGTGCTCCAAAAATTTAAATCACACCACTGAAAATTTAAAAAATTTCAATACAAGACTAGTTCATCAATTATTTTCCAATGATAAATCTTCCAGTTAACTTATTTTCTGAAAAAAAGAAAGATGATTTTCCCACTGCTTAAATCATCCTTCAGTCTTCAGCCTCTCTACCTCGGGACCCCTAACGTGCCTAAGAATCTGAAAGACAAGGTGGACTTTGCAGCAAACCCTGGGCTTGGGCTGAGCCAGGAGGGAAATGAATTACAGTGCTGAGGACTCTCATGGAAAACACCTGCTGCTATCCCCCAAACTGAGAATGCACCACAGATCTCAGCTGAGGGACTATGAGTTGGAGAGACAGGCAGTCTCCAAACCACTCACAAATGGTGGACACATTCTCTCAGGCAGAATGAAGGTATTACGCTCGCAAACTCATCCAGTGGCTTCACCCAATCCACCATTACATAAATCTTGCCTGAATTAAGCCTCAGACAGATATTATTGGATGAGATGGAAGAGGGACAGCGAGGAAGAGAACAGTAGCTTCTATGAAATCTTCACCCCAGAACAGCCAGGAGAGAAAGGTTTTAGTGGCCTGACTGGATTTCTGATTAATAGGTCAGCTCTGTGCAGAGTTAAAATGTGTGACCTATGATGGCTCCTGCCCTGCCTCACTGGCTTTTAGCCTAGGATAACATAGCACAAAAATAAGGGATGTTTTCTTTTACTAACACAGTCTGTTTTAGGCCAGCTAACATCTTGTTTTGTTTTGACACCCTATAGAGAATTTACTGAATGGAGTATTTTGAAGGTATATATTCATCAGCTAAATGCAAATGAGACTGTGACCTCCTTATAACAGAAACTCAACACAACTGACCTAGACATATGTGGTTATAAAAGGCATGTTACATAATTCTGAAAAGATATCAGCTTTCTCTTCCAAGGAAATGAACCAGAAACTAGAGTCTCATTCAGCAATCCTTACTGGGGGGGAAATCTCATTTTCAAGTGATGGGCACGTGATGTGAATTGGTTTAAAAAAATGCATTTTTTTCTTATGCTTAATACGAAGAAGTACATTAATACTAATTTGTACTAAAGTGAACTCCAATGTTTGTAAATGTAAAACTTTGTTTAAGTGTCCTGCAGGATATGAATGTGTTTACCATCTTCAAATGAGAAGAGAAAATATTTTAACAAGTAATGACAGAAAAGCTCATTATAAAAATTAGATTTACTTTAAAATTTACATTAGTAGTTCAAACTTTCCTTTAGGTAAATATGTCTGGAGTATTGTCGTTCCTTAGTTATGTTATCTGTTTCAATGCCTGCTCGCTAACAGAATTGTTCTGGCATAGCCATACCTAACATTTATATAACAGAACAGCATCTTTGCAAAAGCAAAATTTTTAGTACAGCAAGATAACATTAATTTTAAATACAATGCAATAGTTAATCATGCCAAGCATTCTGATTTACGCAAGGATCCTGTCACTAGTACGTGCTAATCTAAAATCGGATTTGTTTTGGCAAGAGACCACAGCTTTTCTCCAGTTACTGTGCCACTGGTGTATAATGCATTTTATCCTACATCATCATCACTCTCATTCAGGAGGTATACCTAATCCTGCAGTCCTTCCTGAAGCAAAGATATCATTGAACCTGGTCTGCAAAGTTAACATACCCAGAACTTTCACTTACTTGAATGGGAGTTCTGTACATGGGGTGAAAGTTGTCCGAGTATACAAGACCAGTGCTACACCCCCTTGCACCTTTTCAGCCCTACACAGGGATCCATTGGCTGCGCACTCCTATATGTCACAGAAAAGGTCACTGCACTGACCCCACTTAGACTTGTGCTTTTATGTATATAAGTAGCCCCCGTACTGTATGCAGCTGGCTTGGAGCAACTGCATAGCAACCCTACATGTAACCTGGGGCTTGGGTCACAGATTTCATGACTCCAGCTGCTCCATGTTCCACACAATCTCAGCCTGAATACTCAGTGCCGGTGTCTATTAAAAGATCAATTAGCATAGTTAAGGAAGTCACTGAAATCTTCACCCTCAAATCTCCTTACCTGAAAGTCTTTCGCTGTCAGCATCCTAACACCAGCACTCAGCCCTAAATCTGTGGGATGTTAATTCAACACCCAGTTCACCTGAACTGATGAGATGGAACATGAGAAGTGGATTGGTTTCCGATGTAACCAAACCATAAAGGGCATGAATGGAAAATGCAAGTAGCACGTGCTCCCGCCTTTACCCATTTACTCAGGGGTGTTTCACAGTCACATTGTACATGACCTGATGTATCTGCAGCATTACTAGGCATGGCTGTGAGAAGGACACATTGCCGTAATCGTGTCTAGGGGCTGGCAGACTTCGCATCATTCCCAAAACACAATTGCTAGAAGGGTCTCACAGGGGAAGCCTCATGTTCTTTTCCCTGCTTCTAAAACAAACACTCCTTAATGGTAGCATTTCCTGCTACCGCTCTACTGAGGCAGTTTGGGATACAGGATACAAGCATCAATGTTCAGTCAATCCAGAAAAGTTAGCAAAATCACCACCACATTATGGTATTTAAAATGAAACCGTCTGGATAGACGTTACCTTTTCTAAAGGACTTTCTACTCGTGGGATGCTGATCATTGGCATCTGGGCCAGATTATCCATATGAGAATTTTCATGTTCTGGTTGTCTTCCTCTAAAATTATTTACCACACATACAACCTAAAAAGGTCAGAAGGTAGTTAGAATAATGAACAAGCGTTTTACTTATTTGAGCCTGATCCTGAACTCCTTACTCAGGAAAAACTCCTACTGACTTCAGTAAGAGATTACTGTAGGAGAACAGAAATATCAATGAAATAAAATAAAGATACCCACTTTGTCCTCCTGTACCTAACCCTCTAAATACTAATTATTTTTAAACTATCCTGAGTTCAATGAAATTTTACCACAGTGGAAAAGTCAGGAGTGGACCCACTCTCATCAGAAGCAACGGCACAGTAATTCTCGTGAAGGTAACATCGTAAATGTGACTAAATGAATGAGATTGACTGAAAGAATCATGTGAGCGTGTTAGTCAGATTCATGTTGACAAAAAGTCTTTAATATTTCAAGAGGATATTATTTTAAACAATATATTGTCCCATGCATTATCATAGTACAAGCGACCTTCCTCAAAGAAGATCTGTTGCTGATGTGGAAAAATAATAGTAATTTAAATCTCAAACTAAGTATATGTTTAAATCAAGTTTTATCAAATAAATGCACAGAAAGCACAGCAACAACACTGAACTCCTATAAAGATTAATAAATATTGAAGTCCATGATAGTGTTTCTCACACAGTATAATTTAAATGCTTATCATTTGGCACTATCCTGACACCAAGATGAGCATTCACAAACACTTCCTCTAGAAATGGGTATAAAAATCAGTTGTTTTATTTTATTAATTGTTTGTATAGTATGTTCTCAACTTGTTCACTCACTAGGCTTTTCAAAATGGATGGCTGGACTTCTGCAGAGTGGAAATTGATTTTAGTGACAATGGACTAGTTTGAAAGACATTTTTCAAAATGTTAAACAATTTGTCCTGCAGTTATTGGAGTATAAATTAAATGTCTTGATCAAAATTTATTTATATTCCCTTTCCAAAAGCTAATTAATAAAAATGCACTGCACTTTTTTCACGTTTATTGTAGAGTGTCATTTATTTCTTTAAATAAATACTTAATCAAATGGAGGGATTTCTACCATGAATGTCTGAATAGAAGGATGATATTCACACAAGTTTGTATGGCTTGTTTTCCCTTCCCCGAAACAGCTAATGAATAGTCTAACATTTAAACATCACAATTTTTTATTGTTCCTTCTAAGACGTCATTGTAGGCTGGGGGTTTTACCACTGAACCTCCTCCAAAATCTAATTAAATCTAATGTCCCTACCAGTTTTATAAGGACTCATGCTGTATGGCAATAGCAATGAAATATGTAAAACAAGTACATGTTCCTTGTGGTGCTCCAGTGGTGCTAGCTGGATAGAGAGCTAGCTTAAACAGCAGGCAAGGAATTCTCTTAGAGGAGAGGATTTCCCATGTGATAGCTCAAAGCCACCTGTTCCTGACTCTCTAGGGTAGGAAGTATATGTGGCCAAGTGTCTTACACTCCCTCCCTTGATCCTGAGCCAACAGGACCACCTCTGAAAGGGTTGGAAGTGAGGGGGAACAACATTTTAGAGATGCCCTAAGGCTGCTCTCAAATGTATCTCCAGGATCAGGAAGGTTGAAGGTGGGGTGATGGCTTTACACTCTTTGGGTTCTGAGCCCAGCGTAGCTTGGTCATACCCAAGGATTACATCCAGAGTGTTTCTTAGGGGAAAATATATATAAACTTTTGGGAGGATGAATTTAGTATGAGTGAAAGGTGTCAGAGAGACAGACCTATAGGGAATTTGAGTGTAGATCAGCATCTGTGCTCTTTCACAAACTTCAATTCTCTATTGCGATTGTCAATAAAAGTGTTCAAGAGTGGTGGTGGTGTTGTGATATGGACATTTGTCCACATTAACTGAGACCGGAGATCTGGTCTACCATAATAAAGTTGCATCCAATTCCAAAAATCTCTCCAAAAGAGAAAGGGCACCTTTTTATATGCAATATACAAACCAGATACCAATTGCAGCATCACTAATGGCTACACTTGCAACAACAGAAAACCATACATTAAATCACTCTGTCGGCTTCTATAGGATTTAAAGCTAAATTAAGTCTTTTATTCTGGTAAACCACATAATTTTCAATTAAATATAAATGAATACAAAGTAAATTTACCAGATTGTTGTTTTGTTTCATTTAGCCATGAAGAGCAGCGTTATCAATCAGTTAATACAGCACTTTAATGTTGTATAATGAAAATCAAGATTGGATGTCATTCTAAAAGAAATGCCCTAGCTCAACAAGTCACGGGCTTGATGTATGAACTATGGCATGAAATTGTATGCCCTCTGTTCTAAAATCTATGCATCTATGAAAACTGGCATTTTAGTTAGAAAACTGAGACCCGCCTCGAAGTCTGGCATTTTAGTTTCCTGTAAAAGACTCTAAGGCATCAATACTCCCATTAACAGCATAAAATTACACATGGAATTCTTTAATGTGATGTAGACATTTGTTCATGTGAACTGAGGCCATGGATCTGGGTCTCAGAATATAGGGGCATCCAGTCCCACAAGAAAAATGGCATCTTTTTATATGCAATATACAAACCAGACACCTGAACTGCAATATCACTAAGGTAAGAAATCAGGGACCCAATGAAGTAGAGGAGAGTTTTGCCATTGACTTCAATGGGGCTAAGATTTTACCTTTTGTCTCTCTCTCACCCACATCCAAACACACACACACACACACATATATATATATGTGCACTTACCAAAAACACTGCTATTGATATTCCAATTATAAATCCTGCTATCACATCTGACCAGTGATTTCGATACTCGGCTACTCTGTTGATACCAGTAAGAAATGCCAAACACATTAAGCCTAAGCACAGAACAGGTTTTGCAAGCCTTGTTCCTCTGGCTTTTATTGTGTTGGTAATATACATCTGAAAATTAGAAAAAATGAAGCATAAGACTATAACCTCTAAGGGAAATCTTTGTAGTTTGGTTGGAAAAGACAACTATGCATACTTTGATTTTTGTATAGAAAAAAAAGTAGGGCTCATTATGCAGTACATACCAGTTTCATTCTCTTTGTACCCAGAGATTAGATGGGTGCATTCTTTACATAGGATTCCGCATTACAGACATTAAAAATAAGAGTGGCACATGATATGGCTATTAAAAATCGTACATAGCTGTCAAATGTACATTTTCCTTATTGGTTTCCCTATGTAGTTTACATTCTCTTTGCTTTACATTCTCTCTCTCTCTTTTTATTTTATTTTGATAACTCTTAAAATACAGTTAAATGGAAACGTACCAATCTCCAGTTATTTTAAAAACAAAAACTGGTCTTGCAGTGTTATAGCAAAATCTTCAGATTTCATATTGTGAAATAGGGTGGCAGCATTTTAACAATATGCAAGTCCCCTCCCATACCATGCCGCATATTAAATATACAATATATAGCAAAACCTCAGGGATTATGATTCAAGGCCCAGTACAAGTGCAAAATCCTACCCACAAGACACCTGATGTTCAGAGTTTAGCCTTGCCCAGCAAAGAAATCCCCTTCCAGCTACTGGCATGAACTAGCTCTAAACTCTGTGCATAGCAATAGCGAGGAGGAAGAGAGGGTCTCCTGAGAGTCTGGCCTGGGTGTTAAGAAGACTGGGAATGAGGCTCTGGCTGCAGGGTTGTTAAAGCTGAGCAGGTGAGAGCTCAGGGATTTTGCAGGTCACTCACATCTCCAGAGCTCCAATGCTATATGAGGAGGACCCGGCTTTCCCACCCAAGAGCCAGCCCTAGCTTTACTTTAGTGAATCTTCAAAAGCATGCAAAAGAGAACCATTCTCTTGTGCATCTTAGGAGTCAGCGTAGCCAAGTCATGTGATTTTATTGCAAGTCTTGTGATACATGGTGTTCATGGGGTCCTAGGATTATGCTAGACTCTCAACCTCCATTAAAAATAATGGCAAGTATTTAGCTCTCATGACTGTGGAAACAATCTTGAAAACATGACTCTTTAAAGGCTGAAAACCCAGAAGGCAAATAAAAAAAAAAGAACCCCAAATGTATCATTTTTAAATCTCATGATTTTATGCCAGTCTCATGCTTTTTCTTGGGCAGCTGACTCATGATTTTTGAACGCTTGATGTTGCCAGTACTGGAGACAATGCTTGTCCTGCAAAGCTCCTGACCTCTCAAGGCAATTGCCTGTCCCTCACACACCTGCATGTGAGCAGCTTTAAAGAGGGAGACTTGTCCATTTGCCTGTTGCATAATCTGACGGTACATGGGGATTTACCAATATCGAGAATTATACCACCACCACGACTACATTTTGAAAAAAGAAAGTGTGGCAATTTCTGAAATCCTGGCTGGACAGTATACCTGCACTCCTCAGATGTACACTGAAGGCAATTAGTGACAATAAATCTCATTGGGTGAATAGACCTAGAAGCTGAAGCTTTTGTATTTAACAGCAACTTTGCATGGCAAATTCTCCTAAACTATTTCCACCTCCGATCACCCAATTATCTCTATATAACATTATCAGTGCAGTCACCATTGCAGTGATTTCTGAGGGTGCAGCATGTCTGCACTAGTGGTTTGTAATGATGCAGCTACATCTGTGTAGCTACACTGCTTACAATCCTGATATATACAAGGTTTCAGGCTCCAATAGACCCACAGAAGTAAATTCCAGAGCTGTAAGCTCTCCGCTGAGAAGGCCATGTTTTCAGTCCTCCCCCAGCTGTTTAATGTAGGTTCTATGACTGATTGAAAGCTTTTCATCCATGCTATTCATTGGAAAATTGGGGTTTTGACAAAACAATTTTTTTCAATAAAAGTATTTGCTTTCTGAAGAAAATGTTGATTTTTTGTCTAAAATCTGAAAAACTCCAAACCACAAAACTTTTTCATTTTTGACAAAAAGGGTTTTTTTTCCTGTGTAGAATTAAAAATAAAATAAACATTTCTAGAGATCTAAGCCATATAAAGCTTCATGGATGAAAGCCAAAACCTTGAATTACACAAGGAAACAGGTAGGCAGAACTGGAGAACTGATGCTTTATATTTCCTATGAATGACAAATGGCTAGCCCCATTCTGTACTACCTGACGCTTCCAACTGATTTTCAGGCGTAGCCTATCACACAGCACTGCAAGAGTCTAGTCAGAAGATAAGACAAGTATTTTATGAGTCTATCATTATGGGAGCAATGGTGAGCCATGACTTCTAAGCATAGGAGATAATAGTCAGACTGTGCCAAAGGCACATCCCCACTCCCATTATCTTGAATCCCAGCCCCAAACCAAGAGCTAGAATGTGCTCACTAAAGACAGAAAATCACCAGACACAAAGGACATGTGAGTTTGCCACTATAGATCCATAGAACATGATAAATGCCAAGTACTTTGCTTAGAACATGAGAGGGAGAAACATAATATAGAGAAAAAAATCAACCACCAAATTAGGAAACTTAAAATCATGGCAGTACACACACAACATACTTTACATGCTGCTTAAACTTGCTCATCACTGACCTGTAGCACAAACTGTATGATGTACAGCAAGAAATCATCATACATATAGTTATTGCAGGCATAGAACTGACCATGAGAATAAGCATTTTAGGCTGTATTCCCAACCCCCATTCCTCCTCCCTTTCTCCCTCACTCATTTTAGGAAACTTGTTTTTCCCTTTACTTAATCTTGTTTTATCTTCACTTCTCATATTTCTGTGTGCTACGGTACTGAAGTCAAATATCGATGAGACAATAATGATTTAAACTTCCAGCAGTCTTTTGTCAGCTATTTTTTTCAGGTACTGAATATCCAAACCCACTTCAAGTACAATGTAGTCTGGGTTACCCAGTGACCCTCTATTTTAGTTCCCCAGACTAACTGGGCATTTTAGTACTTTACAGTCACTGCGAGCCACACCATGTAACACAGGACTCCATTCACCCTGGGATCAGGGAAAATATAGCAATATCTTAAGTGCACAGCAGGACCACAAGAATTCAAACATAGTTTAGATAGTTTTGACAAGAGAGCTGGCAGCAGGTTACCCTGGTTCAACTCTGCACCATGGGGTATTAAGTCAAAATTACTACTTCTAAGCAAATATCAACTAAATAAAAGACTTTTCCAAAGGCAAGTGACGGTGATGCAGATCAATTGTCGATGCTCTATTCTCATCGCTCCAGAAAACAATCTTAACTTTAACTCAGGTGTCAAGAACATTACAATCTAATGGGCCAATTCTGTTGTGGGCCAAGGCCCCTTAAATCCTTTCTGGATTCAACACTTTGCAGGAGGTGTTCAGCAGCACTTTGCACTCCTGAACTCCTTAGTCAGGCAAAACACCCACTTGAACAAAACGAGAGTGTTGCCTGAGTCAGAAAGTGCTGCAGGATCAGGCCCTATAGGCATCCTTGTCCTCCTTGGATAACTAATCATAAGTTCCACCTTCCGGGTCCACTGATAATTACAGTCAAAATGGTAATGCCCCTGGCATTCTTCAAAATGGTAACCTGAGAATTTTGCCAATACGGTCACCATTTTTACCTTATCTTTATACCACAGGCACAACTGATTTTACAGAGGATGAATCGGGGGAAATAGGAACCTGTCTTTAGACACTCCCTTCTGCCATTGGGCATTTCAAATTTGCAATGTTCTCTGTAGACATTACAAACTAGGAATCACAGCCATCCGTTTCTAACATTGATTTCCTACAGTTTTGGAGGAATATAGTCTGATATTTAACTTAGTCAAAAATTAGCTTTGCAATATATTTATATATAATAAAATATGTTTTCTATTCCTTGTCCTGAAGCAAAGTAGCATTAAACAGAGTAAACAAATCGTTTACACGATAAACATGCTGCGTTATTTTGCTATGGTGAATAAAAATGTTAATTTTCATAAATATTAAATTCATCTCAACAAAGGGAAAACAGCTCAGTGAATTAAACCCATGCTCTCATTAGTGAGGCTGAATGATGTTGGATGAATAAAGCTACTTACTGAAAATGTTTTTCAGTTTATTTCAAGGACCAAAAGTGTGGGAAAATTAAAAACAACAAAACCAAACTTTGTAAAGTAATCAGCTTAGCAAAAGGGCCAATAAACAAATTAGTTTATACTTGTAATATCAAGGATAAGTGTCCTGAGATGAACCACGAAAGAACTATCACAGACCGCACTCTTCTCTCTCTCTTTCTGTATCAGTTCCTTGTTAAATCCTGATCAGCTGTACTGCTATTGCTAATCTTGCTTTTTCCTGAACATGGGTCTAGCTGTGTTAGGATAAGACGTTACTTTGCACACGGGGACATGGAGTCTGTAAGAAAGTGACTAGTCATGTGGTGATTTTGTAGACAACCGTTTACTAGACATTCAGTAAAACACTCATGTTGCTTTCAGTCCTCAAGGTATTGGAATTCAGGTTGCCAAAGCCGCTTCATAAACTGAAAGAACTATCTAGAACCAAGTGTTTCCAAAAATAAATATTTGCTAGTTCATTTTCTTTTGAGCACATTGAAACAAAATGCTGGCATCATAAGCTGTATGGGAGATTGTACTTTTGATACCTGTATTCTCAGAACCTGCCAATAGTGTACTATATTAGTAACCTGTCTCCAGAAAAAAAAAAAAACAACTCCACTTACTTTCAATGAACCAGATTTTTAAAGGTATGTAGGCACCGAAAGATATGGGCCTTAGGTATCTAGGAACTTCTGAAAATCCCAATCCCAAAAATGAAAATGTAGGCGCCTTGTTTTTAATCAAGATTCTACCAAGAAAGCTATTTTGCCTTGCATGCTTATATTTTCCAATGGTTATGTCAAAACCTATCAAGTGTTTTGTGACAACCTAAGTATAGCATATTCGTTACTTTTCCCTTGGTCTCATGGGACTGTAATGGTTT